GATGTTCAGAAAGCAGGCTGACAGACCATCAGAACACTGAATTACTTGCAGAGTGGATGAATGCAAATTACTACGTCTCAACATATCGGCCTATTCCGATCGATGACTATCTCGTATATGAGAACGCGATTTATCCCGCAGAAACCTCGAGGCAGCTATTCCAGACAATCACACAATCTCCATCAATGTCCACCATATCCCTTACGGACACTATGCCTCCCCATCGTATAATCCAGCCCCCGACATCTCGAGCATTTGCAAATCCAACCACAAATGCGACGGTAGCGTTATCAGTCGATACGGCTGCTGCAGGATATGGTGCATTGGTTTTCTGCGGTAGCAGACAAGCTTGTCAACTTCATGCTTCTATCATTAGTGAAGCAATGCCAATACCAGCCGCAGTAGATCCAAATGAATTAAGCAGACGATTGGACCTGCTCGCCGAACTACGAAGCCTTCCAAGTGGCCTTGATCCAGTTCTCGAGAATACATTAGTCAGAGGCGTGGCTTTTTACCGTGGGTTCTTCAGGTCGACTACCGCTTCGCATTGATACGGACTGACTTTGTTCTAGATGCGGGCATGACAACAGAAGAACGTGATTTCATAGCGCAGGCTTACGATCAAGGCGTTTTGAGGGTTCTCATAGCCACTTGCAGTCTTGCGGCTGGAGTCAATCTTCCTGCCAGGAGGGTCATTATTAATGGTGTTCGGATGGGGCGTGACTTGGTGGGACCAGCAATGCTGTAGGGACAACCCCTTGCACATTTCAAAAAACCTCGTACTAACCGTTGAAGGCGCCAAATGTGTGGGCGGGCTGGTCGCAAGGGAAAGGATGAGGCAGGCGAGACCTACCTCATTTGTGGAAAGTCCGAGCTACAGGCAGTCTGCGATCTGCTGGAAGCTGGTATGCCAGCAATTGAGAGCTGTCTAACGCCAGAGAAGCGTGGCCTCAAGAGGTAGATGACCAAAATGAACGAGAAATAGTCATGAGCTCATACCTGTTTAGGGCGATTCTGGAAGCTATAGCCACGGGCCTCGTCTCTGGTTTTGAAGCGATCAAGGATTACGTGAAATGCACCCTTCTTTATCGGACCACAGACAAAAAGATAGCGTATAATGTTATGAACGCTGCGCTCCAAGAATTGGTCAGCGAAAATCTTTTGCATCAAAACGGTGACGAATCATATGTTGCGACCCAACTTGGCCAAGCTATTGTTGCATCTGGATTCGCACCTGAGGATGGTCTTTTTATTAACGAAGAGCTAAACCGAGCGTTACAGGCTTTTGTGATGGATGGTGACATGCATATCTTCTACATGTTCACCCCCCTCCAGGTAGCGACGACCACACAAATCGATTGGCCCATTTTTCGAGACCAGCTAGACAACCTTGACGAAAGCGGGCTGCGTGCTTTGCAATTTGTTGGTGTTCAGCCGGGCTTTGTAAACAGAATGTATGTTGATCTGAAACATCGCGCAAGAGCGTACTAATAAGGCCACAGGGTTCAGAGCGGTTCATCTCTCAAAGAGGACACTCCAGAGCAGATCAAACTGGCCGCCGTCTACCGTCGCGCTTACGCCGCGCTTCAGCTTCGTGATTTGAGTAATGAAGTCCCCCTATCGGTGGTCGCCAGTCGCTACCAGACCCCTCGCGGGACAGTTCAGTCATTGGCCCAACACTGCCACGGGTTTGCCGCTAGTATGGTCAAGTTCTGTCAACGCATGGGCTGGGGCATGCTTGCGGCAGTCCTTGATCATATGCGGATTCGGTTGGAAGCCGGTGCTCGTGCTGATTTATTGGAGATGGCTCAAGTCACCTACGTCAAAGGCCGGCTAGCTAGGTTACTACGAGACAAGGGGTTCCGAAACTTGAGGGCGTTGGCAGAGGCCAATGCAAAGGCCCTCGTTCCCATATTAATGATGGTAAGATGAATGTCGCTCTGAACAGAAGATTCATTAACTTGCACCAGGTAAATCCACGAAAAGCACAGAGAAGCCAAGCCCACCCCTCAGAAGCGCAACGGTATGCCAACAAATTGCTTGCCAAAGCAGAAGTAATTGTTGCATCAGCAAATAAAGTTTGGGGTACGTATATTGTTTCACAACGTTCAGTATCTATCCTACTAATAATGCCACAGAACGTGAAATGCAAGTCGAACTGGATGAGTAAGACATGATACTCTGGTATATGAGAGGTAATGAATTGGCAATTTTTTTTTCTTTGGAAACTTCATGAAAACGGGGTCACTCATGCTCAGGTATCGTATGGCGCATTGAACGGGTTACCTAACATATATATAGCATACAAGGCTATGATGTGTATATACACAGAAGTTGAGACTTTGGGGTGTATAGCTGATTGACTATGATATTTAGCATACTAGAACTTATAGAAAGCAGCTGTCTTCTAGCCAGTGAAGAGGATACATGACTACAATAGTATCTGTGGCAACGCATTGGTCCGAAGGGAATCTAATAAAACTAATCTAAACCCCGTTTAGCGTATTTTGAGCCTTCATAACCTCACCCTGATCTACAAAATCCACAAGGACCACATTAGGCAGCCGTTTATACACGGACCGACATAAGTCGGACTGTGCCCCGATACTCCCATTGCCCGAGACAGCATTGGTTTTGGGCGCACGGATCCGGTCGGGCACCAGGACCCCCAGCACATTGACATCTAGGAAATGATTGACGATATACATGCGCCCGTCCGCGGACGCGCCAGAAGGCCGATCGATACTGCAATTCGGGAACGAGGCATCCGTCACATCGTAGGGCGTCTCGAAGAAGTAGCCGAATTCGTCCAATATATATGGAACGGACTTAGTGTCGGCGCCGTAATCTAGTAGCAATATGTTCAATACACACGTCCTATCGGAACAAGACCAACGAAAATGTCTCATACACACAGTGGAGACTTTATATCTCCACTGCTATATAGGTTCCACTCAAGGCATCCACTCCAAGATACTACTAGTAGTACCTAATCCGTACTCAAAAGAAACCACAAGGAAGACACGTGTACTTACCCAAAAATACCACAAGTCGCTTCCCCGTACTAATCAGGTCTCCTAATGTCGGCCACGAATCCATGGCCAGCACAGCCGGCGACGAGCTCGGCACGAACGCATAATCCTTAATCCCGGCACTGGCGAACACCTCATCGAACCGCGACACGGGGAAGCCATCGCCATTTGTAAGCAGCAGGGTTACCACTTCGTCCGGATGGCTGTCCAGCCAGGTCTTGACCGTGCCCAGGAAGGACTCCAGGGTTCCGGCGTCCTCGAGAAGACAGGATGTATGGCATAGTTGAATGGTATTGGCGTTGTCAAGGGCTTTATGGGTTTGGCCCTGCAGGAAGCGGATCCCCAGGTCCAGTTGTTCTGTTACCTCCAGGTTTTGATTTTGTTGTGGGAGTGGGCCGACGAAGGGGCTGTCGTGGGCGCCCAGTTGGGTGATGTTGGAATACTTGCGGGTGCAGAATGCGGATTGGCCATTGCAGGTTGATGGAGCGCATTGGGCGATTTGAATGGCGGAGAGGAGGAAGAGAGGAAATAGTATGTAGGAGAGGGTGGGATGTTTGTTGGAAGGCATTATATTATATATGAAGGGCTACTAGTATCGCAAGGGTATCATGTCTTGGTACTAGACTGAAAGGATATTGCCGTTTCTTTATTCATTTTGCCTTAGTGAAGGAATCTCGATTATTTATATCTCTGAATTCTTGTCCGAACTAGGTTGAGGGCTGAATGCTACCAAATGATCAAATCATGCAGTGCTGAAGAATGAATGTATGGCATGTGGCCAATCAATCCCTTGTGACTGGCCTTGTGAAAAGCGCTATAGAGAACGTCGGAGGGGAACAATATAGATAAAGGTTAATTTTCTCTTCAGAAGGATTAGTGTGACTACAGGAATGGAACAGGGCAGCGCTATGCTGAAGACGAGACAAGGATCTTAAATGAAAGAGTTGATCTTGTCCAGTCGATGTCGCTTGGGGTCTGCGGGTGATGTGAATAGTAGTTGGACTAAGGCACCTTAAGGCACACTGGTCACATGCTGATACTGATAAGTTATAACCCACACCTGAGCATTATTACTGAGGATACCCTGGATGAAGTATATAACATGACTAGACCATAGTGATACTATTCATATTAATAAGTGTAGTCACCTGGAAAGAAACCCATCAACATAGGCCAGAAGCCCGCTTGATATATGGCATCGTAGTGAATGCGATATACTCTAGTCATTGAATAAGTGGTACTGTCTAAAAGGCGAGCCTGGATAGCCCCCATTCATAAATTTATAATTCCCACTTAAACATTGTGATGACCCATCGGGTTACTATCCTAAGTCATTGTTGTTCTGCAAGCTGCTATAGGGCCTGTCTTGCAACATAGTACTGTTTTGCATACAACGCGCATAGCACTTTAAGTGATGGCTGAGGTATGATTAGATGCCCAGACTGCGGCAGACGAAGATGGTCTGGATAATCAATAGGAGAATAAGGATGGTGTGAGTATAAGGAGACGCTCTCTTGGAACAAATCCCCAGCAGCTCTATAGTATGTGTCAAAAATGACATTATTATGACTGACAAGCAAGAAAGGATGAGTAGTTGTGTAATTTGATAGCCACTGGTGGCTTGTGGGGCACCGCCCCCCCGGAAGCCAAGCAAAACCAACCAATGTTGACCTGAGGCCGGAAGGGACTCACAGCCTCCAGCTCTCCTCGTTACCTTCCGTCGATGATCCTCATCTTCCCCGACCTGCGACAAAGCCGAGCTCGTGGGTACTCTTGCTCGGTTTACACAACCACTTGCCAGTTAATTACATCCAGATCCTGACTCAGTCGTACATCGGGAGTATTCTCCTGCTAACCAGTCGGATTGTCGGCAACCGCTCCTCCGTTGTGTTCCGCACCTAAGGTATCCATCTATCGGCCCGCACTCGGCCAGTCGTTCACTGAAGCTTTGTGGCCTGAGATTGTCAGACAGTCATCAACCAGAACGTATCGGTGCCGCATTCAAATCTTGATTCCCGGGACCGCCTTTTCCTGCGATATTGTCGAAGCGATGGTCATTCGAACATATTGCTGATGAGCTCCATGATTGAGGGCAGTGATGACCGGGCACGAGAGGATGAGCTCGACTTGGGGGAAGAGGACGAGGGAGATGTTCAGCCAAAGACTAACGGTGCCTCTGTCGATGGAGTGTCACCTGAGGGGTATGGGGAGGGCTCAATGGCATACATCGAAGAGGATCTCCCCGATGTAGCTAGCCCAAACCATTCGGTCGATAGAAGGAACACCCAACTTGACGCCGGTACGGGCAATATACCATTGTCGCCCCGTATCAGACAGCTTGGTACTCCCGGAAGCGTCGACGAGACAGCTTCCACTCCGGATGATACTCCTTCTTTGCATGTGTGTTGCGACTGCTGTTTTCAGCCTTGCTATCCGCTGATAACTTTAGGATTCTCTTTTGTCATCGCAAAGTAGCAATGCTTTGGTCCTTCGAAGCTCGTCTCGTGCTAGTCCAAGCCCGTCGCATCGTCCCTTCGATCTCCGCTTCCAGTCTCGCCTTTCGTCTCCGTCTTTGAGCGGGGCTCGACCGTCCTCGCCGTTTTTCGCTCACATTCACTCCCGACAGTCGTCGCTTACGAGCCGCCTCACTCCGGGTACCGTGGATTCCGATGCTGAGACTCCCCTAGGCCCTTGGGATGTCATGCGGTGGACTAAGTTAAGAAAGATAACTGGCCAGGCATTTTCGGAGGTCGGTAAACGTAATTTTGGCTATCCCACATGTTTGGCGGTCTCTACGACCATAGTGATTGGAACGTCCAAGGGAATTATCCTGGTGTTTGACTATCAACAAAGTCTCAAAGCGATCATTGGACAGGGGACTAAGGGTACGTTAGGAGCCTGCCCCGCCTTGTTGTTCTGGTCTCCGTTGACTTCTACATATAGCTACCGAATGTGGAGCAATCACGTCGTTGGCACTATCCGCGGACCACACGACGGTTGCCGGGGGACATGTCTCGGGCGATATATTCACATGGGAGATTGTGAGGCCGGCGCGGCCTTTTCTTCAAATACCCCCTCTCTCCGAAACTCATATCGATACTCGCACTGCGGATGGTCACCTTCCTGGATCGCCTGTCATTCATGTAGGCTTCCTTGGCACAAGGCGCACTGCGCTCGTATCCGCCGACAAGTCAGGGATGGCTTTTTCACATCTTGCGACTCGTGGCCTGGGCGCGATGGGACGGACAGTGAAGACGACAAGGATCCTGGGTCGTTATCCCCAGCATATATCGCACGGCAACCGGCCGCGAAAGCCAAGCTCTGTCCTTGCCTTTTCACCCCTCCCGCTTGGAAACGTTGAGCAGCCAACTGATTCTTTGGGATTGGTTGCGATGCTTACACCATATCTCCTAGTAATTGTCTCAACAACACCTATAGCACAGACCCAACATAAAGCCCCACGCCCAAAAGAGGTTGCCGCCCATGGCGCAATGACTGGAGCATTGGCATGGTTTCCAGCGATTAAGCTCAAGGGCAAGGACGCGCAAGTTTCAAAAACAAAACTTGTTTATTGTTGGTCAAATGTGTTGACTATCTTAGAGGTGTCTGAGATTGAAGCAGACGAATCACCCAGCAGGGACAGACCACCTAGCCTGGAGTTTAAAGCGCGGAGCAGATGGAAGGCCGAAGAAGCAATTGTTGCTGTGCAATGGCTGAGTCGTTCGGTCCTGGCAGTGCTCACTATAACGCAGCAATTACTTATTCTTGAAGATCATTCTATGCGTGTAACGGATAGCATCGATCTTCTTAACAAACATATATACCATGCCGATTTGTTCTCCTCTCAGCTTCACTCTCTGGTCGAACAGTTTAATGAAGAAGATACCTCAATGCATGGCGTGGTGGCCGATGCTTTTTATATGAGCTTTCGCTCTTATAAAGGGCGTCTGTTTTTGTTGGGCTATAGCGATGCACTGGTTGGAGCCCTCTCCAATTGGGCAGATCGGTTACTTGCACTCATGGAGGCCGGAGACTTTATTGGGGCCATCCGACTAGCTACATCCTTCTACAAAGGCAGCGGAGAAAAGCTCACCATCGGGCTGCCTGATGAAGATGCACTGAGACAGCCTATCGTGCAAGAGAAAATCCTGGAAATGGTGTCAGCTTCGCTGAAGTATGCCTTTGGTCGGAACCAGGAAGCCAACACTGAGCGGCTGAGCAATCGACAGCTTGAGGAATTGGCCGAGGTCTCCATCTCGGCCTGTGTGTGTATGGACGATGAGGATTTTCTTTGGGATGATGTATTCAACTGGTATGAGGAGCATGACTCGCAGGGCGTCTTCCTTGATGCCCTTGAATCATACATAGTTGAAGGGACAGTGCGCACTCTTCCGCCTACTGCCGTCAAAGCGCTTATCAATCACTTTGCCACGAACCATACTGCCAGCCGGTTGGAAGAGATAATCTGTCTGCTTGACACGGCCACCATGGATATTGACCAAGTGACGACACTGTGTAAACATTATAACTTGTACGACGCATTCATTTACGTCTGGAATCGCTGTGTAGGAGATTATGTGGGGCCACTACAAGAACTCCTAGCATTAGTCCCACCCCAAGGATCTTGGGTTAACGGGGGCTCGGTGGATGAACTTAAACGATATACGAACGCGATGAAGATGTTTCCATATCTCTCGTTTGTCTTAACGGGCCGTGTATACCCTACTGGGAATGACATGGATGACACCGAAGCTACTCAGGCTAAGGCAGCCTTATACGAATATCTCTTCTCTGGGAATCTGTCTGGGGCGGAATCAGGGGTCCACAGTCAATCGAATGAGTTGTTCTCCGATCTGCAAGCTATCCTGAAATTCGATACCCCCAGCTTCATGAGCATGCTCAATGAAGCATTCGAGGATAGTTTCTTGAACGAACAAGAGCCAGACGAGACACCTTTCAAAGGAATATCTATCAATCGGCAATACTTAATCAGCATACTGCTCCAGGTCATGGCACCGTCAACCTTTGCTTCATCTGATACCATTTACCTAGACATGTTTCTTGCTCGCAACCTTCCTAAATACCCCCAGTACATTCTACTCTCTGGAAGCACACTCCACCAGGTTTTGGAGCGATTGTGTCGATATCCAAACCAAGACATGGCAGAGGACTGCGAACTCAGCGCAGAGTATCTCCTATCTTTCTATCACCCTCCAGATGTTCAGAACATGATCCCGCTCTTCCGGGAGGCGCGTTTCTTCCGGATTCTCAAGTCAACCTATCGCTCCGAGAAGCAATTTCCGGAGTTAATTCTGACCTATCTTGAAGACCGCAGTGGGCAAGAGGCGATTTTTACCTGCCTACAGGACTGCCTGCGGGCCGGCTCCGGGTTAGGGAAAAGGCAAAGGCGAGATGTCATAGAAGTGATTAAAACCCACGCTGGCCAGATAGCAGGCATAGATGTCCAGAAGGCCGCTCAGACAATGCAGGATTATGCTCCCGAAACGCATGCAGTGTTCCTTGAAGCTCTGGAAAACGATGCCTACGAACAGTACCAGTACTTGACTGTCGTGGTTGACCCTACGACGCATCCCGGCGCTGAGCGACAGCTTTCGAAGCCAGTAGAGAATTGGATGGTAGAGCGCTATGTGCAATTGCTTTGCAAGTACAACCCTTCACACGTCGCTGATTTCGTTGATGAGCTACGAGTTGGCGACGTTCGACTCGAAGAACTGCTGCCTTCAATGGAAGAAAGCGGGGTAGTGGATGCAGCTGTCATTCTGCTGGCCAGGCAAGGCCAGATCAGAGCTGCTATGGACCGTCTCATTGCGCATCTTCAGACACTCGAGTCGGGTCTCGTTGGCATTCTCCGAAGTATACAGGAGACCCCAGACTCCGCCAGCACGGCAGAAGCGATTGACGATCTTGTTGAATCTCTAAACAAGTATGTGCGTGTTGGTACATGGTTGTGCCAAGGCCAGTCGAAAACAGCTAAGAAGCCGCGGAACGGCGAGAGGAATGGAATTGGAAAACATGCTGTTGACCAGCCTCTCTCGTTCGATGAGAAACTCTGGCTCGACCTTATTGAAGCTGTCGTCCGTACTGCCAGTAGTGTGTTTGCCCTGATCCAGAAGGAACACGCGGAAAATAAATTGACCCAACTGGCACCAATAATTCCGAGGATGGGGAGCAATTCGACCCAGCTAATGTCATCTGTCCGTACATTGGTACAACAGGTGTTCACGGCGCTGCTCTCCAGCACGGTCCGGGTTGGCGGAGCTTCGACCGAACGCAACGACGTTGCCTTTCTCCGAATTCTGCGAGCATTTCTCACTCGCGCATCCCACTGGTCTCCTTCGCTCCTTGAACTCCGCGCGGTCTTGGCTTCGATCTTCTCAGCTTATACTTACGAGAAGTCACTCCTGGCCCTGGCCAACGGGATGCTAGATCGGGATCTCTTTGTGCATGTGGACGAGGTAACGCGACTGCGTCAAAGGGGGTGGCGGCCGCGAGGCCAGGTGTGTGAGGTCTGCCGGCAACGCATTTGGGGGCCTGGGGTTGGCTCTGAGTTCTGGGAGGCATGGAAGCAGAGGCAGGCGGATGCCCATCAACGCCGAGTGTCACGACAAATTGAAGGGCGGCTTGACCCTGCGGTCGCCGCGGGAAGGGCAAGGCGGCGGCAGTGGCCGAGGCGGGTCAGGCGGCACACTTCCATGATGGACATGCGGACGTGGAGTCAGTAGGTGACATGCGGGGATCCCCAGAAAGTGGAAGTGAGATGCCGATCGGGCCCGCGGTGGTCTTTTCCTGTCGACACTTGTATCACCGACAGTGTTTGCTGAACTTGGACCATTCTGGGCATACCAGTAAACGGCATTTCCACCGCGAAGGGTCTGACTGGGAGTTGCTGTCATGCCCCATCTGTCCTGTACATAATGAATGAGTGCCACGACTTGAATCCAACCCATGTATGTATCTTTGCTGAATCCCCACTATGTGATTTCATTCGTGATTCTTCTATACCCTTTTCCGCCCATGTTGGGTGGCAAGATGTTCCGGAGGATTTAAAGTGAGACAAGTTTGGAGGTTAAACTTTTTGGCGGCGGTTAATCGAGTTGCTTAATTAAGTCAAAAACGAAGTCGTCGATGAAGATGGCCAAAGCGGGACGATTTGGTTTCCGACTAATTTGCTCCCGATCAGCTGGTTTCCCAGTGACGTATCACAAGATGGGACGAGGAATTCCAATAAAACTCCCCAAAGAGGAAGGGCCAACATCACATGGTCTCCTTTCTCAGTAGTCCTTCACCGTCAGCCTTCCCCCACAGGGCTCATCCTCATCTTGACCGTTAAGAGAACCCTCGATCCTTGCGATCTGATTGACCCAGGTGTCTGTCACACTAAGAGCCATGGTGCGAGCCTGACCAGCATCGGAAATTAAATACAAAGGAAAAGACCCTGACATACTCCCTGCGCGGCGCGTCGTCCTGTCCATCAATCTATATGGTTGACTCCGGTGAAACGGCCCACGATAAACTGGAACTTTTTGGCCCTCTCCAAACGCGCCCTCTGTTCCACGAACCTTGTGTCCCTCCAACCAGTTTGAAATATCCACGCCTGCTGTTGCCATTTTGGAACCGTCTGTGGTCCAGGAACACCCCTTTCGTCCATCTTATTCCAGTCCACATTGGTCGTGACTCCAATTTGCCGCTCACATGCTTCCTCCGTCTGTCATCCTGGGTACCCGCGCGACTCGAGAATATGCCTTTCAATGGCATCCCTCTAGGTCTCAAGGCCTGGTCCGGTGGGCATATCATGGCTGACGCCACTTTTCACTAGTAGGTGAGTTTTAAGTTTCTTTTTGTCCCTTGTGTGGAGTGGTTATATGTGTATGTAGTAAGCGTGTAGGATACATATATCTGCATGGCTATATATTGAACCTCCGACACCAGGGGGGAACAAAGATGGATGGAAAGAACGCCAATCTATAACACTCCTTCACCCATCCAGCGTTGGTTCATTCAGAGAGTGCCTTTGACGCTGCCCTTCCTTTATGTTGCTTGACAGTAAACCTTTTAAGGATAAAGCACTTTGTTCGAACACTCCTTATATATCAATAAATATCACTCCCTACCTCTTCACACAGCTTCACGCATAACCTGTATATTCCTTTCTATCGTGATCTTTCAAGTTCAGAATGCACGTACTATCCACTCTCACCCAGGCTCTGAGCCTCTTTGCTCCCCTCGCCGCAGCCGCATACACACTACAAGATGACTACGGCACGAACTCAGCGTTCTTCGACAAATTCAGCTTCTTCACGGGCGGTGATCCCACCCACGGCTTCGTCAAATACGTCGACAGAGGTGCAGCCCAAAGCGCAGGCCTAATCAACGCCGACGGATCCATCTACATGGGCGTAGACTACAAAAACGCCGCGCCAGACGGCCGCCAAAGCGTCCGAATCAGCAGCAACAAAGTCTACAACCACGGTCTTTTCATCCTAGATCTAGCCCACATGCCCGGCAGTATCTGCGGAGTCTGGCCAGCATAGTAACGTCTCCCTTAGCCCCTATCCATCCCCAACTCAAAGGAAAAAGAAAACACAAAACTAATAATATCAAAGCTGGCTCCTCGGTCCCAACTGGCCCAACAACGGCGAAATCGACGTCATAGAAGGCGTGAACGAGCAAACTAACAACCAATATGCCCTGCACACCAGCGACAGCTGCACAATCAACAATTCAGGGTTCTCGGGCTCCCTCCTCACAAGTAACTGCTACATCAACGCCCCCGGCCAAGCCAGCAACGCAGGCTGCGGTATCAAAGATAACTCGGCCCAGTCGTACGGGAACGGGTTTAACAGTGCCGGCGGCGGCGTGTATGCAACTGAATGGACTGGCGAGGCTATCAGTGTTTGGTTCTTCCCGCGTTCGAGCATCCCCGGTGATATCGGTAGTGGGCATCCAAACCCGAGTGGTTGGGGGACGCCGGTCGGCGAGGTTTGCCGGGGCTTGCAACATTGATTCCCATTTTAAGGATTTGCAAATTGTATGTGTTTTCCCATCCTTGATTTTTTTTT